CTAACATGATTCGTTATCTTCTGTATTACAAACAACGTGTATGCCTCCCCCCAATTCCATCTTCTGGCCACTGGGTTGGCGATATTACCTTTCCACTTCTCATCGCTTATCGCTCTTCAGGACGTTTTCCCACTTTATCAAACAGAAGACGTCTGCTTCTTAAAAGTAACTTCGGCCACTGACGTAACACATTTTTTGCCTAGTGTTGATGCGGCGCCCTTCAGGTTGCACTTTGCGGCAAGGGCCGATTAGGCTGTCCTGGTCCCATGTATAGGCGCAATGTGGGCAGAAAAAGTAAAAAGCATGCCGAAGGGGGATGCTGAAATCGTTAGTGGGGATGGTAACCGAGACTGAGACGGAAAAGGCAACCTGGTGAATGACAAATCTGCCGAGAGATTGAAGGAGGCCTAGAATCCCCAAATGGGACCTGACTGATAGGACACGCGGGGCAGCAATAAACCAAGCCTAACGGGAAAACTTAACCGTAACCTCAAAAGTAAACCTTATCCTTGACGTAACTATTAACCTAACGCTAACCCAAAACTTAACAATAAGTCTAGCCCTAAACCTACCACAAACATTAGCCCTAACCCAAGGACTAACCTTAACCCTAACCTTGGCCTTAACCCAAACCTAAACCCTAACCCTCACCTTAACTGCAACACTAGCCTAACCCTAACACTATCCCTAACTCCAACCTCAACACTGGACGTTAACCTAAACCGAAATCCCCGGAACCCCTAAGCTCAGCAGAAACCCTAACCCTAAACCCAATTCTCAGTCTGACACACGCCCAAGCCCTAAAAATAAGCCTATCTCTAAACCGAAACATCAGGCTGCCCTTTTCTGTTTTAGCTTTGGCTACTTTCCCACTAACGATCTCGGCATCTTCATTTGGCTAACTTTACTTGCAATGCCCACATTGCGCTTAAACTTGGAAATAGGACAGCGTAACTGACCCTCGCCCATTTCGCAAGACCTGGCCCATCTTCCCCGTTCCAGTGCGGTTCTTGGCATATTTCCTGTCGAAATTTAGCACGAATTTAGACGTTTCAAAGGTAAAAAGACAGAAACTGATGTCCAACTGTCGTGTGGATGGTCCCCAGAATTGTTCTTCACCATCCATCCCTGGTGCGTTGTTCGCTGAAAAAGTTTGCAGTCGCAAAATTAAGGCTTCCTGTCTGGCCTCTCTGGTGACCATCCCAGTCGTCTTGGCTTACTCCTGCCATTAGCATACTAATGGAACGTCAATAGGGATCGAGCTCGATCCGAGTACAAATCACAGTTGACTTCGCATACAGGCATAATCCTGCTTCTGTCTCAGTTCCCAGTACTATCCCCGAAATTCGTTAGTCCTAGTCAGATGCAGCCATAGGCAAGTAGCTCGTACTAGCAAAATTTGCTCCTAAGCCACGCTGGCATATTGGTCCGACTTTCGTAGACAGATTCTCACAATAAGTGAATACTCTGAGAAGTTGGCCAAAATTGCAGAAGGATTTTCTTGTTACTTAAAGCCTGCAGGGCACCATCCGTCAGGTGAATGAGACGTCGTCCCAAATTGCGGTAACCTGAGACTACGTAGCACAATCGAACATGTCCCCACAGAGTTAACCACCCCTCTTAAGCTCTGCGTTGACCATCCCGTTTGACTAGCTCGCGTTGCCTCAAATGCGCACGTCAGGTCTTGCTGTCTGAGCGGATCTAGACGTAACTGCGATTGATTTAGCACAGGTTCAAAGGCTTTCTGGGCCACCGGCAATGTGGGATTTCCAAAGGCACCGCATATCACCTCGAAAATTATGCTGAAATAGATGTCTCACCTCCCTTTACACCCCCCCCCCTCCTCCGTCGCACTCTCACCATGCATTGATTCCTGACACAAAGCCACGTTCTCTCCCTCTCTTACGTCGCTGGACTCCACTTATTTTTTTCGGTAAGATGTGGTTATGTAACCCCACCTGATGGAAACAATACTGTTTGGGTTGGGGTTAGGGTTAGGGCAACTATTTCTCAACCACCCAAAGTATGACCGCGCATTCCCAATAGCCTTTATTTTGCATACAACTACTTGACGTTGTTGCCTGTGTGTTCCCCGACCCCACCTGTAATAATCCCTATTACCACCGGCCCCGTATTACAGGTGACTGGGGTTTGCTTACTTCAGGTGGGGCTACATAACCACATCTGACCATTTTTCCTGTGTTTTTCGCGTAAAGGAACGTCGACAGTTGAGGATGGAGTCAGAGGCACTGATAACTGCCGCTGCGGTTTCCGTAACACCAGTGGATGGTGTGTCGTCTTACTCACCACAATGCTTGGCTTCAATCCCCACCTCGTCAAATTTACCATGAAGTTATTGTTTGATTCTGGTCCTATTTAAAGCCATGCAGAGGGGATCAAGACAACGCCTCTGCCGTCTTTCTATCTGGTTTTTGTCACAGGTTGTATGGAATTTTTATAAGTCATACAGGTGGTTTACAACATCCCTGCCGTACTGGACTTCGTCACCGCACCAATTAGCAGTGGTTCAGATTTATCGCATGTCTGGGAGTCACATCTCGCGTGCAGAAATAGTCCTGCAGACCTTCATCCTGGCACACTGACTTTCCACGGATTGGATCAAGATGAATTATGCAGCTGTGCCATGCCGAGGCAGAATGCCGACGAAACGCGTGTCTGTGCTTTTAGTTAGTACCTGTACCGTCAAGTATGTTATATCGTACAACCCATTTAAATGTCGCGGCAGCTAAGGCCACTACGACCTCCGGGCCCGTTCCCGAACACAAAGAGAAGGCGCCGGGCGCCAGTTCAGAGAAAACTGTATTCTGATGGACTTCGGCTCAAATATTCACACATAAAAACCCAGATCTGAGCCTATAGACCTTAAATATACTGATCTACTCCAAGTTCGCAGTTAATTTCTAGGGAAATTAAAAAGCTACAATGCTGTATTCTGCACAGGAAGATTAAAGAACCAGTTGGAGTAAAAAAAACATCCGATGGCGCGAGAGCGGTGTCCCCAATGACAGTGGAGAATGCCTGATCTGACCTTGAAGGTAATTGGCTGGTTTGGACGGCCGTGATTGGTCGAGAAGCGGATGCATGTGTAAGTACTTACGAGAGCCGCAGCGTTGTAACAGGCGCCTGGAGTCGGACCGTTACGTGTTTGCTACTGGCTGCCTGTTGACAGTTTATGAATATTACGTGGTTATTCCACTGTGGCTGATGGACTTTGGCCGCAATAATTAATATCAACTTTCAGTCTGAGCCTATAATTCTCAAACAAACTGATATACTCCAAGTTAACGGTTACTTTCCAGAGAAGGCAAAAAGCTACCACTAACAGAAAACGCACGCGGGACGTTGGGGGACCCGTAATGAGTCGAAACCTTCGCGGCTGCGTTATGCAACGGCAGAATATCGCTGAAACATGTGTCTGGGCTTTTAGCTAGCACCTGTATTGTCAAGTATGCTTTGATGGGACCCCGACGGGTCTTTAATAAAAAATTGTTATTATTATCATGCTACCTATCAGATACTTATGTGACGGTCGACCCTAGCGCTCGTCAGCTCGGCCGCCGATAAGGATAAAGCTCATGACTGGGGTAAGGTTACTATCGATAACTGCCTACTATACTTACCTACGTAGGCGTTGTGCAGTAGAGTTTTAGGTCAGAGTTCGCTCACGTCCCTCGACGACTCTAACCCTTTGGCAGGATGCCATTCTTCGAAATTACCTGCTCAGAGGACGCGGTGCTAAAGAAGTGTCTGTTTAGATACCTCCACACTTAATTTTTCAGTAAAGGGCAACAGATTTTACCGCAATTGAGGGGATGTAAGAGGTGTCCTCCAACGCTTTCTTCCACCGCCCACATTACTGTCATGTCCGGGCAACCCAACGCAGCACATTAGGACACGTCCGACTTATTTACGTCCGAAATATGAGACGCGTTTTTCAGCCTAAATCAAAGGCGGTGTTATACCACGTCCATGTGACTCCATACCGCTCTGTCGGACACGGGGCGTAATTTCTTTTTCAGACGACTTCAGTACGCTTCTATGAGGTCCCACCCGTATAACCCCTATTACCACCATTCCCCTAAGACACGCTCCATCGGTTACCCCTTTCTGACTCCGGTTATATACTTTATCCTAGCCCGTCCGTCTAAAACGCTTTCACGTGTGTGGCTCAACCCTCAACCCGCCGACGTCGTAACGCTGGTCAATACTTTTTTTTAACTAAAGCCGCACAAAACTTGGACGCAAGCACACACGACAGTTCGACCATCGTTGCCGGCGATGTCCACCATGTGCTCCACAACATGGTGAAGCAGACACGGTGACTTGTGCGTGATTTAGTTTATAGTGAATGTAGACCTACACAGCATCTACCGCACTCTCTCCGCCTCTACAACCTGGACTCGGCGTCAAGACAGTGTAAGCCGGTCCATGTTGAGTAGAATTAGAAGGAATGAAGTAGCCGCAACGATGCGGCATGACGATAAAGTGTTATTTAAAGTTGCAAATTTTTTGTTGGCGTATTAAAATAAAACGCTTTTTCACGTCAGTACAACAGAGTCAAGATGGCCGGAGGCGGGGGTAGATGGGACGGTCGAGTCCGCACCTTGGTGCTCCACTCCAGCCCCCCCCCCTGGTTCACCCAACAAATGACCAGAATTTTAACCAACGTCAACAATGGGGAAGGCCACAGGGGGGTCTCAATGTGCGCGACGTCAGCCGGAAACTGGGTCTGCCGTCGCACCCGCCGAAATTTTGGCATACGTTGTGGGGCTCAAATCCGATAACGCCTGCCAGAATCCGACATGACCCCGTGTTAGCCCAGCACATCTCCCACGCGGCCCGTTTGGGGGACACACACACTTCGCACCGGGACTGACAAAGTTGGTGAGAAGAATGACTGCTTCTGCCTACTGAGTCGCGTGCACGGTCTCTAACCTCAGCGACGTTTGTCCAATAACTTTGTCTTTCCTTTACTTGATATGGGTGACATTCAGTGGTCGACCACTGCACTTGGACACACCTTAGGGGGAGAGCTGGGCGTCACCGTAGAGAGTCTTTTCATTGACATCTCATTTCCGGTAAGCATGTCATACCATCGCTGTTCCCATGGCGTACCTGTGGAGACCTGTGCCTACAACTTGCCATTTTTTCTCACTTCCTCTTTCCCTCTGCGCATACCTCCTTACAGAATCTCGATCTGCTAACAGAAATGGCTACACACGGACTGATTGCAATACCCACGTCAGCCAGACGTAAAAGAAGGAGATTTGATCGTTGGATAAAATATTTTTTCGTCTGACATTTCGGGTCTTCCCTCGAACCCATCATCAGAAACGGTCGTGGAAAGGGGGTGACAAATGCACAGTAATTATCACGACATCATATAATTACCATAATTGACGGCCCCAAACCTCATTTTTGGGGGGTTATAATTGGCGTGATTAGTGCACACGCATTCGTATCCGAGGCGTAAACTACCGCAATTTCGTCACTGGTGTTAATAAGCGGTGTGACAGTGGTTGCACTCTTTGAAGCGCAGTTACCGTTACTGGATGCAGTGTTTGCCCTCGACCTTCCCGCATGGCCAGTTACCCTGCCCCGACAGAGTATGAGGGATGGATATGGAAGGGGGAAGGTCACTATTCTGTCAATATACTGAGGACCAGTGAACCATGGCTCAAGCATTTGGCATCTCACGTTGTGGTCGACCCTCACAAGAATTTCGATTTTAAAAAACTTAGCGATGTGACTGGGTCCCGTCGAATGATCTGCGATCCGACAGCTGGCGCCATTTCTCCTACCTACTGCTGCTGCATGTTCGGCCATCCCAGTTTCCGTGTTTCGGGAACGTCTCGGAAGCTGTCAGATGCTTTCTCGTGCCACTTTATTTTGGTATCAGAAACGCCAGAAATAACTACCAATCCGAAAATAATGAGGCAGAAAAAACGACTACGCCACGACAGGAAACTGCTGGAGTCTTTTGTGGGATCTGACGTAGTTGCAGACAAGGCAGGAAGGTCAGAAAACTGAGAGATTACGCGGGACGCCAATGACCGAACACATTTGCATCGGTGAAATTTCTCCCCTCAGCTCGCCAGCGCATTCCTCATTAATAATAAACCTGACGCACTTTGCAATTACTACAATGTGATAAAAGTCGTCGTCTGGAAGGCTGACAATTGTCCTTGTGGTCAGTACTGTGTTCGTATGTAGGGAGGGGGGAGGATTACTGGAGGACTGGGAGACTTGCGCAATGACGCTTTCTGGACCTGGCATCTATGACACTCGAGAACGTAAGATCCAAGCTATCCCCTGTTTCTGCGAAAATCTGGTTCACCTTGCAGGAACAGGTCGTGTGTGGCGCGTGTAGACGGACCTCCTAGCTACAGTAGGTGGGCTAACCCATGAAATGTCAACAGAAATTCCGAAATGCAATCCGTTTCGAAAAGATTATTTAAGTAGGGTTGTAAACCCAGTCAGCCTGCAACATAATTCTATAATAATTCAGTTACCCCAGGACGCCGGCTTTCGAACAAACTTCTTTCCGGTGGCATCCAAAAACCATACTCCGTAAAAAAAATGACGACTTAAATGCCATGCACTTTTCTGATTGACTTTCGATGCCCTTAGTGATCCAATTACGCTTTATGGAAAACATGCGGAAAAATATTCATTCCTTTGCTCATTCAGTAGAAAATTACGTCTTCTTCTATTTTCATACTCGAAGGAAGGGTAAAATTCGGTTTTAAAAAAGTTTATAATTGTGAGATTTTTAATACCGTAAAATGGCCCTTCATAAAACGTCATGTCTCTGCATTTACCAGTGTGGCTTGCAAAGTTAACAATATGGCTCGAATCCACTGCTAAATTTCATGAACCCTATATGATCCTCCTTTATTGCCGTAGAAAAATGTATAGTTTTTCGTACGCGGAAATTATACGACTTGTAGTTTGTGAACCCTGAATGCAAGTGTAACGATAGGTTGGTTTCAAAATTAATCGGGAACTAGAACAGTTTTATAAAGCCAAATTAGACCCTTTCTTCGAGTGTAAAATCAAAAGAAGACGTAATTTTCCACTGAATGAGCAAAAGAATGAATATTTCCGGGCATGTTTTCCATGAAATATAATTTAATCTGTAGGGACATCGAAAAGCAATGAAAAAAATCATTCTACTTAAGTATTCATTTTTTACGGAGTATGGTTTTTGCATACAGCCGAAAAGAAGTTTGTTCGATAGCCGGCATCCTGAGGTAACTGAATTATAATAGAATTACACTGTATGATGGTTGGTTTTGCAACCCTACTTAATTAATCTTTTCGAAACAGAAACGTATTTCGGAATTGCTGTTGAGATTTCATGAGATAGCCCACTTACTGTCTCCGGTCGCCTTGATATTATCTTGCCGTCGTCACAAGGTTGATGAGAGATGATAGAATGCGGCAAATTTTGTGCAAGTCTGCTGCCTCTAATAAACTAATTCACGCTCAACTTACCGCCCTGCGCCCGGCACACTATGATGCACGCGGTTGAAATCATCTTACACGACAGCCGAGCTGCCATTGTTTTTCCTTCGAAGGCTGTCTCTGTCTGCTTCCCCATGGGCTGACTTTCTTAATAGCTCATTCCCTTCTGATTGATAACACCGTTCGACAGGCAGAATTCACCGCGTAGATCTGCTACTTCCGCTGACCCAACGTAATTCTATCATCTCACTCGTCGGACCTCTGCCTGCGCAAATTGCATGACCCCTTCATAAGCCGTCTTCCCACCCGTCGGGGCAGTCAAATAGCAATCATTGGCATATAACTAACTTACTGGCTCCCAATGTTTGGGTCGCTCGTGTCCGTCTCAATTATGAATCAGATTTCACACTTCTTTCTTGGCGTCCCGAAATTCGGAAGGAGAGTTTCTATGACGGAGGTGGCAGTTGATGAAGAAATCGGCGGCAACAAACTGCGTTTGTATACGCATAGCAATCCTGGCAAATATAACATAACCACAGCAAAAGCCCAGACTCGTTTTCTGCCTGTTTTTATACTGCTGTATGACGCAGTCAGGAGGGATTCGGCTCGTCAGCGGATCTCCCGGCGTTCCTCACGTGTTTTCTATGGTGCATACTCCAGTTTTTGATTGTAAGCTTTCTACAATAATACGCGAATTTGGAGTGAATTCTCCGATACAAGTCTCATCCTGCTCGGCCCGAAAGTCAGTAAGAATATTTGGGCTGACATTCAACAGCTTCAATGGCATAGGCCCGTAATAACCACATTCTAACCAAAACACTCAGTAGCGGATAATTACCGCAAGTACGATGGATTGATCAGCATGTGTGTACAACTAACTGGCCGTGGCTTAAATGTGAATATTATGCAGATGTTCCGTGCTCCAGGGATGCTTACTGAAACCGCCGATGTTATTGTCATTACTGCTGAATCCATATTGAAATTGCAGTTTTTGGAGGATCAGTGAGGTAACCACCTTCCGATAGAAAAAATTATCCTGTCCACTGCAGTTTAAAGCCCTGTGGTTCGGTTTATCCGTTTTACGGATTTGCATTTCATAGTTGTTTTACATAACCGTCTTGCTCGCCGTAAAATGTAACTGTGCGTCGTTTCCCTTCTTTCCCGCAGCACTTCCCGTACCTGGGCAGTACCGTCTCCCGCAACACCAAGATCGATGACGAAATCGCCCGCAGGATTTCGAAAGCCAGTCAAGCCTTCGGTCGTCTTCAAAGCACAGTTTTGGATCGTCATGGTCTCCAACTCAGCACGAAGCTGAAGATGTACAAGGCCGTTATCCTGCCGACGCTGCTGTGCGGAGCGGTGACTTCGACAGTGTACACAAAGCAAGCACACCGACTGAACCACTTCCACCTCAGTTGTCTTCGTCGCATCCTGAGGATGAGTTGGCAGGATCGAATCCCCGACACTGATTTGCTGGAACGGACGGGAATCCTCAGCATCTACACCATGCTGAGACAAATGCAGCTGCGTTGGTGTGGCCAACTGGTGCGCATGGACGACGAGCGACTACCCAAACGACTCTTCTACGGAGACGTCGCGACGGGTTCTCGCCGCCAAGGAGGCCAAATTCGCCGATACAAGGATACGCTGAAGTCCTCCCTAAAGCGTCTGCAAATTAACTCGACCACCTGGGAAGAACTCGCCCCCGATCGACCGACCTGGAGGAGGACAGTGAATACAGGCGCTGCGATCTACGCAGCCAACCGCATCGTCGCCGCCAAAGTGAAACGCGAAGCACGCCAATCACAGCTACGCCCAGTCCGCAACGCCGACGCACAACCGCTTCCAACGTGTCCTCAGTGCCAACGGACCTTCCAGGCGCCAAATGGACCTATTGGACATCTTCAGATCAACTGTATTTCTCGGACCGCACCAACCGCCGTCCCTCCGCCCGCCTCTTCCTCGTCCTCTCCGTCGCCAACTAACCCTGACAATTCTTCTGACCCACCACTTCCATCATTCTTTTCCTTCTCCTTCTCCTCCTCCTCTTCTTCCTCCTCCTCCTCCTCCTCGTCCGCTGCTCCAACGGCGGCCGCTCAGGCGACTGTCCCGCGCACAACAACCGACACTACCACCACCTCCCCCGACTCCAGTGATGAGGATCAGGACTACACCTGCCCTCACTGCGACCGCACCTGCACCTCACACATCGGCCTGGTTGGTCACTTGCGAATCCATCGCACAGAGACTGGCGAACCAGTGCCTGGAGTACCCACCTATACCCACCAAGCTCGTCTCAACTGCCCACACTGCCCTCGCACTTTCAGGCATCGCATGGGCCTATTCGGCCACATGCGCATCCACGACGACCTGCGGTAGACAACCGCCGCCCACACCACACATTCACTCACTCCCTTCCTCCTCCACCACCATCACCCCACCAGAAATCAACACTCACACACCTCATGCACCCAACTGCCACCTCCCACGCAAGTGGGAAGTCCGCATCTCGACTCGGTCCCCATGCGGCTTCGGCTGCAGGGGTGACTTGAGTCCGAGACTATCCCGACACGTCAAGCGTCGTGGATAGGAAGGTTGCTGATTGAGGCCCGCTCTCGATTCACGCAGTTCGTCGCGTTGTGTGTGTGTGTGTGTGTGTGTGTGTGTGTGTGTGTGTGTTGTGTGGAGTGGCGGACTAGTGGGCTGGGCAGCGGGCTGAAACAGCGCCTTCCACGGTACTCTCACGCAAGTGAGAGGCACGCCGTTCAACCCCCGTTGTGTGAAATCCTGGTGTTGTGTGTATGGGGGGGCCAGGTCGTGCCGTGGCGCGCGCAGTCATGGTCAGTCGACCATGACAGCCACCGCGCCCATTCCCCACTCCAGTCCGCTGACCGGCTCGGACAGCGGCTGGGGTGTGGGAGTGGGTAGGGAGAGTGAGGTCGAAGACTCAGCGCACTTTCTCCTCACTATAAACAATCTGACGCGCTTGAAGCTATCACGGTGCGCTAAAAGCCGTGGCTTGGAAGGTTTCCAACTGACGGACCTCGCAGTCGGCGCGGTACTGTGCGTTTGTGTCCTTGTTGACAACACTTTTTGGGGGTTTTAAGATAGGCGGATACGAGTGAAGGGCACACCTACCGAGGAGAGGAAAGAACCCGCTGGTCTGCATACGGGGGCTTAAATAAGACGACCAATGAATGATCATGTGAGAGTTCCATCGTCAGAAGTGGCAATGCCATGGGTTCGGCATGGCACCAGTTTCATGCGCGTGGGGCATGCTTGCGCAGCATCTAACACACTCTCTGTCCTTCCCCCCCCCCCCAACGTAGCTCCAATGGAAAGACACAGTCAGGTCGACCAGGGGTGAGCTGGTGCGTAGTGACTGCGGAGCTAAACAACCTGTAGTTAAGTACGCAATATGCGACCGCATTCAAAAAACAAAAATCAGCTCATCGTGGCATATTGCGTCCTCACCCTTTCTATGATTGATACTTCCGCACTCTCGCAACTAGGGGGAATTTAGTCCACTTCTCTTGTAAAACAAACCGGATGAACTGCGAAAAAGGCCCAAATTTTGCTCGCACTATCAGATATCTTGATACCATCATCATTCTTCGGAGATCGTGTTCCTGGTACGTGTGCTCTTTTGCCAGCAGTTGTGGAGAAATTTGGCGCGAGGACCCAATATGCCACCTCAACCTTTACCTGAATGTTTACATGTTATCGCGCTCTCCATTCCACCGTTCGGCCCCACCCATAAAACTCATATTGCACGATGACCTGGTTTTTGTTCCCTGGGTAAGGTCGCATACTGCGCCCTTGCTCAACCCGGCGCTGAAGTGCCGGGTATATTTATTCCCCAGTGTCGATTTCACTCTCACTCTCACTCAACCTCTCTCTTTGCATCCCCATGCAGCAGTCGACTGTACAACCTGAACAGTCATCTGGTGGTGGGCTGGGTGAGTGACTGACGGAGTTAGAACAACCCATCTACGTCCGTTAGGCAGCAACTCGACTGTGTGAGGCGAGCGTGGGAGGGGCCGATAATCTTGGCCGGCATTCAGGCGCATAGCAACAACATGGCAACGGCATACTTCAACACCTGGCCAGTCGTGCTATGATGCACTCGTGAGCTGCCAAATGTGATAGGCATGTGGCGGCCTAGCAACTACATTCTATAAATATTGCAACATCTGGGCAATCCACTACCCTTATCTGCCTGTGTCTCTGATGATGGATTCGAGTGAGAATCTGGAACGTCAGGCTAATAAAGCACTTGTTCCAACGGTCGTGTCTCCTTCTCCGCGACAGTCCATCCACGTCCGCCAAATGCGACCTGATCATCAAAAACAGGCCTCCCACTTGCGTTAGAGGCGCCGGCTTTTCAGTGCAATGATCAGCTCGGATCTGGCATACGTGAGGGAGCCATAGAAGCCACATTAAAAGGCCACCATTAATCATGCGGACACCGGCAGTGATTAAGTATACGCGCGGGATAAGAAAATGCCATCTGTTGTTTAGGCAGAATGGTATTGCCGACAGAGACAAGGGAGACTGGAATGACCATTTCTGGCTTATTGGCCGTCGTCAGCCAGTCATGCCAGACCCCGAGGTGTGGAACCCCTGGGGCCGGAACTCGCGACCTGTTAGTTAAAAGTCCAACGCCTCTAACTGCTGAGGCAAGGGGTCGTTATCCTGTCGGTTGCAATCGGGAACATATAATGGCAGAGGGACGCTCATCGATCGTTCCTACGGAACTCACTCGTCCGGTTGTGCCTTACCTGACTGCCCTCCGTGCCAGAGGTTTTTAAAAAATTGAGTCTTCCTCTCACTAAAGAATTACATGTGGTGTTTGCAGAGCAATGAACCAATGTAGACATTTCAGCAGCACCAGTCCCTTGGGACGGTGCAGGTCAGCGACTGTCATCCTACCGACGAAGGGCCGGCCAAAAACTCTGTCGAGCAATACGTACTTTTAAAAATATTGTGGGCAGCTCTCCATAGTTGTCCCTCATCTCACGCATACACGTAATCCTTACCTGGACCCGCCGCACTGTGTTCAGACAACTTCTAACGACCCCTTACGTAGGACAGAGGTAATAAGGTGTTGACAATTTTTTTTAAACAGGAGACGCGAAATTTACTGTTCAGAAGTTATTTAGTTCTGCAGTGTTGAAACAAAATTTTACGCTAGCGAGCACGTTCAGTGGGTGCCTAATTGATCCAAGGTCATATTCGATTACAGTTAAGGATGAATGTCATAAAGAAGCACTGCGGCAAGCCGTTTGCTAGCCCTAAATTATTCCACTGAGTCGGAAAGTGCTTTTGGAAGCACTGAGTGTGGTTTGTTTTCTTTTCTACGCCTTCCAGGGTAGGCTGTACCCTGCTTGTCGAAATGAATCGTGTCTCTGGTTTTCACAGGATCTTAAATCGACAGAAGAGGTGATTCACTGTTTCTTCCACGGCACATAATTCACCCAACATACTTTATTTTAAGAGTGCAAGAATAACCAGTACCTTTCGCTATTTCTCGCAACTGATTCTGGGGCGGGGATATTCGGCTTCTTTTCCCATGCACTTCTGAGTGAAAGTGTTAAAAGTTGTTTTTTTTTAACTAAAAACCTTGATTAAATAACTTTTTCTCACACTTATAGCAGATCGTTCTCGTGGTGGCTTGCGTCCTTCTCTGATTGGCTGAGGACAGGTAAAGTCTGATTGGCTGATTGATCGTCCTTCTCTAATTGGCTGCAGACAGGTAGAGTCTAGGCGTGCATACGCGCGGGGGGCTAATAATCTCAGTGGCTGTCACCTATCCGGTGTGAAGACTTGAGAAGCAAAAAAACTTGTCCAAACTATCACATGTTCCCTGACTTGTGATTTACGAAACTTAGCGCTGTCTACCTATCATCTTCCGACACATTCGCTACATACGTTTATCCCTCACACAGGATGGGCGTACTGTTTTAAAAAAAAACTGTGACTTCCAACACGCGTTCGGATTACAAACCTACTGAAAACGCGACAAAACAGGTGATCCTCTCATTTTCCCAAAGTCCACAGTATCACTTTCTTGTACGAGCTCTCGATAAGCTGACTGGTTGTTTGTTCGGGAAGCTGGTTGCTGAATCATCTCTCAGTTCTTCCAAACATGGCACATGCTTATGCCTGTGGTTTGTCTCATTACTGCGCGACAATGCACTTCACGTTATCTGAATAATTTGCGTCGCATGCCTCTCCACCGGGATCAACGGGCTTCAGTGTGTGTCAGTTCCATTAAGTCATAGTTGCAACTTGCACGGTAAACTTGCCGGGGAGAGGGGGGAGAGAAAGTTGGCCAATTTCGCAAAATTGGCATTATCCGTTGATGAAGATGAGGGGCGAGCGGAGCGGGGCAGGGGATTGGCTCAGCTCACGAAAACTCCTCTGTCTCCAACTCTGTTTTTGTCGCATCCTGCGTGGCGTCGACCGGCCCCCAAACGGACTGCGTCGTTGCTGATTTAAACCAAAATGTCGGACCACGCTGGCGTGCGAAATACGTTGTTCGGGCTAGGCTGACTTTGCGTGCGTCAGTCAGTCCAAAGGATCACAGTACCTCGACAGGCCCGACAAGGCCACTGGTACACGATGGGGAAAGCTAGAGAGGGAGAGAGAGAAAGATCGGGAGAATGAGGTAGCTTTATTCGCTGCTGTTCAGTGCCCGGTTCCCTTCCCCTACAATATCTGACAGGCTCGAAGCAGCCGTAGCGCGTTAAGATGCGTGGTTTGCCTATCAGTCGACGACTCATTCAAAGACTGTTTGGTTACCTAAGTTTGGAGGGTGATGGCCCAGGCTATATGCAGGACAACGTGTCGCCCTTGTAGGTCAAAAGGTCTTTAAGCGTGTGCCATGCCAGTATCAGCAAACCATGGCCCTAGCAGTCTGGTGCCCCGACACCTGGTTTCCTGCTGGTAGATGCGCTCGCGCTCCCGCTAGGTACACAGGTGGTCAGCATGGCTGCCCAGTCAGCATCCTCGTCGCTGTGGACCCTGTTGGGGTGCTGTTGTTGCTGTTGTTGGTCAAAAACCTAGTCATTCGCTGTGTGGACCAGGGGATGTGGAGTGGAACGCCGAGGTGCGGGCTCTATTGCGCCATCTACCTGTGCCCTCCCTCCATCTCCGGTCTTCTTGACTCTGTCTTGACACCGGGTACAGGTGGGGAATGGGGAAGAGAGAGTGCGGTAGAGGCTGTGGAAGTCTCCTATCACCTTAAACTAATTCACACGCGAGTCACCGCCCCCTGCACCCACCCTGTTATGAAGCATACGGCGGATTTCGTCGAACTCGACGGCCGAACTACCGGTTTGCAAGGCTGTCATATGAGAGACATCTCGGCCTCTCAG